ATATTTAATGTTGAGTAATGCCTTAATATTATTAGTTTTTATCATGAGTTAAATGTAATTAGTTTGAATAATTATTTTGCTAATATTAACAATTTATTCTTGCAAATAGAAATTTTTAGAACCGTAAACCAAATCGAAACCGAACCGTTTTTTCGGTTTGGTTCTGGTCCGGTTTTACAAGTGTAACGGTCTGGTCTGGTTCTCAAAATCACAGAACCGTTAGAATCGGTTTGGTTCTTGAATTTTCTCAGAACCGAACCAATCCGGAGCGTGTACACCCCTAAAGAAATCCGTGCTAATAGAACACAATCCCACATGAAGCGGGGTAACGACGACCTGGTGCAAGGTATAAATGGAGGAGTCACACTAGGTCAAGGTATACAATCACTTATATCTATACTTGCACTCATATCGTTGCTCTATTTCTTTCAAGCTCACTGACTTAAGCATCATCAGAGAGTCTTTTGGTTGCCTACCAGCTGGGTTCTTTATACTTCTTGAGTGTTTTCAAGAGAAATTTAGTCCATCCCATGCCAGAGCACTGCCGCAACAAGGTGGTTCAATTTTTCCCCACCACAATTTGGCGCAATCTGTGGGAATTACACGGCAAAAAACTTTGTTCTACTTGCGTGAAGTTCAATTCATCCATGGCGACGAAGAACGTCACCTTTTCGACTGACGAAGACCAAGGTGGTTCGCATTCCCTAGTCCAGTGAAGATGCCTAGCTAACGTTGAAATGTCACAAGAACGACATGAATGAGAGGTTCGTGACCTATCCACTGCCGAATACTCATATCGTAGCATTGGGCTGCAAAAGTTAGTACATAGAGATAGGGTCATCGACACTATGGACACACAACTTAAGGAAGTGGCTAAATAGGTCAGAACTTTGAAGTAGGGGCACTCCCAGCCTCTACGGAGGTGAATGTTGCCCTAGAAAAAAGCCTTCCCAAGAAAGCAACGGACTGAAACAACCCAACCTCCTCCAAATGGAAAGGATACCAATATGAAGACTACGCATGTTCAGATGATGTTAGATCCTTCCTAAAGAGGAGGGAGATTGCACAAGGAAAATGACCAAGAAGATCAGGACAGTTTCAAGGTTTTGATATTTCCTTGGAAGACATGAGGGCCTTTCTGAATGCCAGAAGGCAAGAGAAAGCAGCACAGTGAGTTGCCCTCTAGAACTATTAACGAGATTTCAGGTCGAAAGTCCCACGCAGCCGAACTGATCACAGAGCTATCCGCATGACTGCTATGCATCAAACTAAGGAGGTCAGCCAGGTGGAGCCCAAAATCCAAAATCCCATGCGAAAGGCGACAGAAGGAAATGTATTTAGAGTAACTGATAGAAGGCCAAAGCTATTAACATCACATTTCACCAAGAGACTATTGTTATGCCCTGTCTCTCTAAAACGGAAACAAAACACTTATTTGCAAAATTTTTGCTTCTAGTTTGGGGAAAATAGCTTGTGCCTGGTATGACGAGCTCCATGAAGGGTCAATTGACAACCGAAAGTAGTTGTATATACTCTATTTTGACCAACTCTAAGACTTAGGCGCTTTCATTTGATTACCCGATGATAAAAACAAGAATGTGCTCAGTAAAAAATATGGAATTTGTATTTCATTTTCAACCTTAAGCCTGTTTTGGCCAAGTGCTTAAGTTTTGTTTAAAACTCTCTTTCGAAACCTTCTTTCTACGCTTTGTTCCGAATATTTTGTAGTGTTCCAAGTCTCGTTTTTAAACTTCAAAATGACACATTTTCACAAGAAATTGAGCAAAGAACAGTGTGGAAATTGGAGGAAAGGATGATAATTATGTCAAAAAATCATATTTCGTGCAAAATAGTCAACCATGGCCAACTTTTTTTTGGTGGCCGACCGGCTAGCTAATAAGTTGGCCGGCCAGCCAAGGAATTTGTCAGTCAGCCAAGTTTTCGACTGATTAGCCAATGGCTCTATTTGGTAGAGCTGTGGGAAAGTGATTATAGATTATGGCTTAACAGATTATAACTTATAACTTTAAATATAAGCTGTTAACTTGTTTGGTGCAACTGTGAGATTATGGATTTAATCAGTATAGGCCCTGTTTGGTAGGGCTTATTTCTAGCTTATTTCAGTTTTTAGCTTAATTTAAGCTATTTTGATGTGTTTGGTTTAACTTAACAATGGCCCCGTTTGGTAGAGCTGTGGGAAAGTGATTATAGATTATAACTTATTACTGTGAACATAAGCTGATTTTTGACTTATAAATTAAGCTTCTCTTGCGCCACTCAAAGAATAAGTTGATTTTTGACTTACAAAAATTTATAATCTGTATTGTTAAGCTGAACCAAACACATCAAAATAGCTTAAATTAAGCTAAATGCTGAAATAAGCCCTACCAAACAGGGCCATAGTAGTGTTTGGTTGAATAAGCTGTGAAATAAC